CTTCCATAGTGCGCGAATGTGATCCGCCTTGTCGTTCTTAGCGATCGAGGCGATCCTCGGTTATCAGAGGAAGACGATACGTTGACGATACATCAGCATTTCGGTGCATGTTCGTCGTTGTTAAACGCATACCCGTACGTTCGGCGTGGGTGATTCGACGGCGATGTGTCGCATATACGGGATGAGCATGGGCGATCAACGAGCAAGCGTGAACAATAGCCGACTGATATCGCAACTGTTCATGGATTTCTGATTAATGGTATAAAGCCGCCTCTCGTCATAGCAGCGTTGTGATTATACGTGAACGAGAGATAAGATGCTATCTTTAATAGACTTTAATAGACTTGGCAGCCTGCCGGCGATTATTTCGGTTTCCGTTATTTTTGTACGCCGCTGGAAATAAACCATAATCAGAGAATTCTGATCGCGATCCTTGTCGCACAACGATATTTTAAGCTCTTTAGAAGTGCGATAAAGATATTTAGCGGTGGGTTATATTAGTTACAGTGTTGCATACTCTACGACGAAACAGGTAAAAATAAAAGTATGAGTACACGATGAAACAAGAAGCGGGCAGAAATTAGTAAAAATAAGTCTCGGCGAAAGAAAGTAATAACAAATGAGAGGTAGTAATAGTAGCAGTGAAATGCAGTAATGACAAAGTTAGAGCTGCCTGTTCATTACATTCGTCCATTTGTCTCAGAAATAAGGGAAGCGCTTCCTCTGTTTCCAAGTACCTCTGTTTCCGTTGTTTAAAAAGTTTACTTTAACTAGGAGTGGGTACTTTAACAGGGCCGACTGAAAATACGCGAGAGTTGAAAAAAATAGTTGATGAACAATCGGCGCACTCTATTTTATTAAAGCCCTTGTACCTCGGCAAACAGTTCGTCCATTATTTTCCGACTGTTGGACAACACGTTCACACGAAATAAATTCAAAGCCCGGGGCTTTGTTGGCCAACCGCCGTATTTCGGTCGGATTCGCACGCTTTTCAACGCGGACGTCGTTTTATTTTAATACGCGCAGTGCCAAAGTTCTATAAACGGTAAAGCGACACGCGCGTATCGAGCCCGCGATATCATAAAATAATAATTATACTGCAATATCGTTTAACATATTTCCCGCGGAATAAAATTCTCACAAAGCCACGCGCGTGTTAAAAACAACACGCGCGGGCAAGGAATTGAACAAGTGCTGTCCAGTGAGCACGCAGTTTGATTTCGCGCATTGCTGAACAATAAGCTTACTTCTTTTTTTATCTTTGACGTAAACCATTGCTCTCCCGTTATTTGCCAGGTTGAGCGTGAGATATGATTTATGGAAAATTTGCGTATTTTATTCCATACTATAAATGCGGTTATTAAACATTTTCTCCCGCGTACCTAAAAAAAGCGCAATTTCTCGTTATTTACCAATTCAAAAAATTATTATTTGACGTCATGCAATCACGTATTATTAATTCGATATGTGAAAAATGCAAATGCGACTTCATGAAAGGTTGCGCATTTCTGAAAGCGACGTTCGAGTTTTCGCTACGCGGGAAAAGCTTGATTGTGAATTTACCGAGAAATCTGCAGAGATGAAAGAATGCGTAACGATTTTGAGTATTTTCTATACACACATTCACCTATATACGCGCGACGACAATCGTTCGTGAAATGTTCCATCGGCGAATCCTTTCGGATCTTCAAATGGAAGTCCAAATCGAATCGCTCGTTATCGCCATACTCTGAATTCTTTGTGCAAGAGATTTCTAATCGCACGTCCGACAACGACAATATTATACGCGAGCCTCGGATCAGCAGCTGCGCCTTTTCATCTTCGACTCTCGCAGCTGATTGACTTCGCGCTGGGTATTGTGCGGATATTGGCTATATAGCATCTGACGTTCTTTAGTTGTTCTTGCAGATTCTCAATTTGCCGAGAAAGCTAAATAGTTGCTCGCGAAAAATTCGCGAGATCTCACCGTCATGATTTTTATTTAGCACCTCTTTAAAAGCTTCCTTACTTAATATGTTCCAATCGGAATTCTGTCGATACTATGTTACGTACTATCGGAAAAGAAAAGACTTTAATTAGTTCCAGAGGTCGATTCTGTGAGGTTTTCCGCATGTATATAAATGCTTTTCACTTAGTCGGCGTTTTGCGAAAGTGTTTCAACTGAAGTAGTTAAGACGATTTTGCGCATTTCAACGGAAAGCCGACATTGTATGAATAAAAACCTAAAAACATTATTTATCAAGCTCGTACAGCAAATTGTGACGTATAGGTATAGTGTAATATGGAAAATGAGGAAATCAAATGTCATAATCCATTATTAACTTGACAACCGCTTCTTAACATTATGAATATCAATCAAGTGATACTTCCTTGTTTCAGGGATATGCAAAATTGCTAGATGTGTTAAAATAATTAAAGTTTTCTTTTTTTCGTTTCTTTAATTTCTCCGGGAATCCACTTTTACAATTATTTAAATTTCTATATTGATTTTTGTGGATGAGAATTTTTTAATGTACGTTTCCCGATTGAACTATCCGAGCAATATTGGCGGTTTCTGAACATAGGACACAACTCCCCTTTGTGCATTCACGTGCGGTTTACATTAATGGCGTCATTAATAATTAATAAAGGCGTCAATTACTGGAGATTCCGGTAGAATGGCGGGCCACGGGAATGATAACGATCGTTACTTCCATGGCATGGTTTTATCAATGTCGATTAGAAGATTATTGGATCTGACGTTAAAACAGATCTCTCAATTGTGGTCTCCGTTGTGTCTCTATATATAATCGTCTTCCTTACCATTAATAGAGAATTGTGTCATTCAAGTTAGCCGTATTTATTTATGGGAGAAACACGAGAATAGTTTGCTAAAATATTATAGAAAGAAATCCTGCTCTTTATTGAAGTTTCACATTGAAAAAGGAATATATTTTTAATACAAATGTCATTTTTAAATACTTTAATTAACTTTAATAAATAGAACTTCCAACTCCCTTTTTATATATTGCTTGGTACATATTTTATATGCGAGGAAAAATCAGATTTCCCAATGTCTCGAACTTCAAATATCACGGTTCTCCTTTTTTTCTTCCTCTTATCGATAAATGAGTTTCATCATTGTTCTTCAAGTTATTCTTTAACTTTCTTAGGGATCTGAAATTTTTTCTTCTCTCTACATTAAAATTTTATTAATCTCTTTGGCTCGCTGGATAATGCATCTCAGTCAACTCTGTTGCAAGCTATATTTATAATATATGTATCATCGCTAGGGTTTTTTTCATTTTAGTACACCCGTGGGAAATTTCTTAATTTCTTTCGAAAATTCGATACCCGCAAGTTCTTTTTTTAAAACGTGACAGCTTTATAAATGATTAGACATTTGTTTCTAATTATCTTCATTATTCTAAAATATATATTTATAAATATTTATTATTGAAATTAGCATTTTTGAAATTTATAATTTCATCAACTTTGCTGTTCGATTTTTTGAAGTTCATTTATTCTTATTACGAGTATATTAGCCAGTTCGAGTCAAAATACGAACTTTTTGCAAATGCAGTAGCATACCTGTTGCTGATTCTCTCGCTGCGTGGTCAAACGTGCTTCGACACATTGTCGAGTTTCAAGGAACGCTTGTCTTTGCGCCAATTCCCGTGGGTGATGTGTCAGTGCGCCAGCTACGTTCGTCCCGCCGACTACCACGATCGAGCTCAGCAACTAAAATGGAAATAAAGTTTTACAGCTAGATTCAGTCAATTACAGTTAGCTGAATTCAATTATTGCTTCTGTAGTATTCCAGATCTCGAATTGCGTTAATTTCAGTTAGTTCTTCTACATGCTTTTGTGAAATTCGGATCTAATGTTAGTAGCATTAAATAAAAGAGAGAACATTATTAAAGAGACTTTACGTCGGTGTGACTTGTTCAAAAGTTTGATAAGCAAACATTTTTCTAATAGTCCCACTAAATATTCTCAAAGTAATGTATTGGAAATAGTGTTCCTAGAAAAATTATATGGACAGATTTTTAAAATAAAAGTTTCCGAAGAGAGTCTTCGTAATTTCAACATGCTACATTTTTCGGTGATTATCTTTCGTAAATGAAAAACAAGAACGATACTAAATATCTGCTCTGAAAATTTTTGAGCTGTGATAAGTGAAAGTACAATGCAGTTCTTTTGTTTTAAATTCTTCAATTTAAATATATTGGGATGCATTTTTCTTGGAAGATCTTGTAATTCTGTCTGCGTAAAACAGAAGAAATATCCACAATGAGATGGATCATAATTTTTGAAATGTAACGAAAGAATCGTATGCGAGTCCATGAGCTAGGACGAGGAAGAAGGAGTGGATTACGAGTGTCACAAGATGAGGATCGAGAACGAGGTTGCTAAGAAGAGTTTTAATGCCGGATCAGTGGCTATAAGCCGGGGATCGGGTAGAAAGGAACGTAGTAGGAAGAGAAAGTTTAATACTGGATTAGCAAAGTAGAAGGGCGGAGATTGAAGGAAAGAGTTGAAGAAGGAGAAGGATGAAGAAGAATATCTCACAAGCGTTGAAGGATATGGGAAAAACGAATTAATGAAAATTAACAAAAGAAATAAGACGATGAAATGCGGTTACGAGCACTAATACATTCGCAATTTATTATGACGTGAGATCCAGTCGCGAATAATGGACGAATTATCAAATTCTCTTTCGAATTTTTCCTTTCTTCGTGTTATATAAGTTAGATACATAAAATCTAATTAATACGCGGTGAATAATATATGTAAATCACAGTTCACTATTTTATTCGGCGAGTAATATTTTTAACTTTTTGTCGCTAACCAGGATTCGCCTGTCACTGTCACGTTCGACAATATTTGGTTTTGGGGCTAAACTGGTCGGCGAATATTACATATGCGTGACGGTTTTTATTTTACCAGTTGTGTAAGCTTTACCTTTGCGTATCAGAATCAATTTAGCCGCGGCCCTTCGGCTCTGCCGACAAAAATGCATATGGACGCGAATCCCACAACCGACGAACGCCACCACGCGTATGAGTGACTTTGTAAGCCATCGACGTTGCTCACGATTCGGTCGGCTTTATCGGCGGCAAATTCGCTCGCGAATGCACCGCACGTGCAGCTGCAACGACGCACGTGCAGCACACAACCAGCATATTGTATCGTGTACTCGCGACATTTGCGGACTTTGCCAGACACGGCGTGAATTGTCTAACAAAAGGAACTGAGCGACGACGAGATAAATATGTTCTTGCAAATCAATGTAGACGTAGAATTGAATTCACGCAAACTGCATACCTCGCGCGGTAGGTACGAGAGAAACGGTTTTGCACGATCGTGATTTTGTACTGAAAGCAGGATGAAGAGAAAGGGGTTTTTAATTAATCTAATGAATATTTTTTAACAGCACCCATTATGATCGTTACTGTGTGCCCGGGGAACGTAAGCTATATAGGAATTACGGTATTTTGCAGATTATTTAGTTTTCATTAAAATTTTTTTGAATTAAAGTTTCCGCATTAAAGTATTACGAAAAGGGAGAGCTTAAGAGGGAAATAAAGTTCGGCGGTTGGTGATCTATAACTATACATTATTTGTCACTATGAAATCAATTAAGCGATCATTCGGTTAAATTGCTATAATTCCATCGATCACGTCAACTTCTCTCTCCCCCCCTCTATTTTTTCTCCTGTTCCTTTTTTCCCCAGGTATCGTAAAATATCGAGATTGATGATCACCAAAGTACAGGAAGTTGAAATAGGAAACGACAGATAAGCGTTTCGTTCTCGATAAATATTTCTCGCGGGGGTTCAGCCACCGATTGACATCGCCCTTATTTTTAGACCCCGAGCCCTAACGCGTTCTCGTTACACGATCCAATAAGCACAATGTGAAATGGAAGAGAGGATTAGCGGCGACCCTCGTTTTCTTTTTCACGCCGTGGTGGCGAGATGGGTATTTAAGGGGGCGGCTGCTTTGCGGCGACGAAAATCGATGGTCGGGCTTCGGAGGAATCAGAAGAAACGCCACGACGATGTGAGAGCTCGCTTCCGGTCGCTTCGCCACTGGCGAAACTCGTTTATATATCGGTCAATATTTAAATAATCTCGTGTCAGTATTTACTGCGGCGTGTGGGCTCCTCACCTCAGTATACTTAGGCCCCGAAGAAACTTAGTATCGAAGCATCTTAAACTGGAACGTTCATGTAGAATCCCCGAGTCTTGAGTTCCGTCGTTTCTTCAGCAAATAAGATCTTAAAAGTGTTGCGTGCTTCGGTCGAATGGTCGCTCTTTGTTTGCCGTAGGAATTGTCACAATGATAAAATTATGAAAAGCTTCTCTTTTCAATTTAAAGTTCGTTGACAGATAAATCAATTTATGATAATGTCGTTGCTGCAATGGTTTACATAAAGTTAAGGTAATTGCGTATTAATTGTAAGACATCTTTTATACCGTGTGAAAATAGAATCGGAGTAATCAACAAGTCCCTCAATTTTAACAAGTATCAAAGAGTCGAGCAGATTAAAAAATGAATGAGAAATTTTTCTCTGTTCTTTAACAAAACGCTCGTATAAGTCCATAAATGGCTTTATCTTTGCTCTCAGCATCCAAATAATATTACGTACAGTGCACTGTGTATTTTGTTTTATTATTTAACGTAAAGCTTCGTACAACAATTGCCGCGATTAATTTAGGGTTAATACGGGGCGCGGCGTCAAGAGACACGATGAAGCGTTACTCAAAGGCATTAACGTTATACATAAGCTGTGCGGTACTTCGAAGCGTGATTAGGCGGTTAACAGCCGAAGTCAAGCCACCGCGATTTACCGAAACAGCGTGACAGTGAAATTTCTCAGTGCATCCTTACGCGAAATGGGAAAATTTCGAAGCAAAGGGCGCGTTCTATCAAAGGGGCCGCTCGTTTAGTTTACTCTCGGAGTTTCGAAGAGGTTGTTGCGACGCACACAATTACACACAGCCCTACGTTGTGCGTGTCTTCTCGTCTAATGAAACCAGAGTTCTGATGGGTTATTATCGGGACACCTTGTACGGTGGCTTGTACTGTGCGCGGCTCTTTGATCTATCTTCATAGGAGGTGTACGCCAACTATCTGCGAAGGGTCGGCCGACCGCCTGTCCTACGTGAATCTTCAAAAGGGATTATCGGATCCTGCGTGGAATTGCTTCAGGTGGCCATAACTTATTTCTAATCTTGGGCGGATTTATTCGCAACCACCTGTAGGATCGGCCATCTCGGACCCTCAAATCGCTTCTTTTTACGAGCTACATTTTTCGGCGGTACTTCGCAGAGCTTTACGGCAATATTTCTCTACGTAATCTGACAAAACCGCCGCAATTTTCTCGTAAAGAAAAAATATTAATAGAGATTTAAAACAAATTAATTCCCTAAAATAATATCTGTGATGATACAAGAGTATTCAAGATCTCATCATATATTACGTATAGCATATAGAAATCTGTGCGAAACAATATTTCTCACTGTATTTTTAAAACATTTTCTTGAAAAATAAAACAGCCGTGTACAATTTCTTCTCTCATTTTCATTAGAATGCTCGTACTTTTCTGGAAGTACTGTATAGAGAGGAGCTTAATAAAAGAAACAGCATATTTAATCTCTTTATCCTCTTTAACTTTCATTAGGGTAATTCTTGTACTTTCGTATAATACATATCTATATTAACATTAAATTCTGCGCATGCACTCGTGATGAAAGATAAGAATTTCCTAAAATCGCTTTCGTTTCGCGTCGAAGTTAGAATAAAGGTTTAAAGTACTATAAGTCTTGTTTATTCCTGCACGATTTGTACTTGAACGTGGTATCGCATTATGTCAAATTCTCATTTAGAGAAAGAGAAAGGAACTAGAGAGAGGGTGAAGGAAGGAGGGGGGGGGGAGAGATTCACTAACTTTCGGTTGCGATAGAGGGATGCTTTGCTTCTCGTCAATTAGAATTCTGCCAAGTCAGGGTATGTACGGAGGTGCGGTTCTGAACTTAATTATTTAGAGAGTTACATCGGTCTCTCGGGAGATTCGCGGCTCTCCTGCGTTATCCGCAGGTCGGATCGTTGCGAATTTAAGGGAGAATTCTACAAGACCCTCTTGAATATTGCACGCCAGGAAAGCGAGCACGACCGGTCTCACATATATGTCTAGAAACAAAGGTACAAGGTTGCAATAGACAGAAGCATCACCTCGGCTGATTTGTCCGCTATAACGGGGGTCGAGTTTCGTGGAAGGATTTAAAAAGCGCGCCGGGCTAAAGAAATGCCTTTCATGACGCATAATCAGCTGGTTGCTTTGCAAACTGCACCGAGAGCGCTTTCACGAGGCTCGTATAACGATCTCTGTAAGGGAATTGCATATTACTCGATGAACTCGAGCAAAGGTAGGCGTGCATACGATATTGTTGATCGCGAACAAACAAGCGCAAGAGTTGAAAAAGATAAAGAAAGAAAAGAGAAAGGAGCCTAGCATGAGTCAGTCGCAGATAATGATGTAGTTATAACATAATATAAAAATATAAAATCTTATTTAAAGAACGTTTGTTAAAAAGGTCTTCTCGGATTTTTTAAATATTTAAAACATACAAATCTATAATAGCAATTAATAATACGAATTATTCATATGTTCTTTAAAAATTGAATAAACGTTATCAGATAAACTACATGAAATTTCAGCTTACCATTAATCT